TTCTAGCTATTGCAGTTGTGGTCTTTGTCTCATTATTCCCATAGTTCCCTGAATCTGAACCCTCCACAGTCAACACTATCACACGATCAGCAGCTCATCTCGGTTTTGATTCCACTGAAAGTCAAGCCTCCACCAAGATAAAATGATCCCCAGAAATCTCATCAGCATGCAGATGAACTCATCTTTGATATTTAGCAACTTCTCTCTTTCCTCAGTTGCCTCTCCCCTCTGATTAGAGGGCTGGAGGGTGGTGCCATAAATTCTTCTCCTACTTCCTTTATAGGGGGCTCAGAAGTCTCCATATAATTTTGTTTTCACTCAGTGGTCTGCTTGGTTTTGACTCCACAAACATCATAACCCTGTGCTAATACCACATAGTTCCCTCCCCCTTGTTAGCTTCTTTTTGTGTATTTATCTTGCCCCATTTGATTGTAAGCCCCTTGAAAGTAAGAGTTGTCTTTCTAATCCCTATTTGTAACCCCAGCTTTTAACATTTCCTGATATGTAGCAGATGCTTAATTAATGCTTATTAAATTGGATAGCCTACTGTAAGAAGGATATAGCATAACATAATACATAACACAAGTGTTTTCATTTTTTGTTGGTTTTTTTTTTTGAGTAGATTTTTTTTAGAAGGTCTTTACCCTCCAAAGATTTCATTCATCTTCCCAAAGAGTAATCAGGGTTGGTTGGATGATCCCTTTGATAGAAAATAGGCTTTAGATTTTAAGTTTCCAATTTAACTTTGCCATTTCAGTGAAAAGACTTTGGTTCCAGTCTCATTTCTGTGACCTGTTAGCAGTCACTGGTCACTTTAAAAGCAAGTCACTAAACTTATCTGAGCCTCAATTTCCTTATCTGTGAAATGGAGATAATACACTTTATTGTGAGGAGGAAATGAAGTGATGTATCAGTGTATTTAAATGGGGAGGGGGACATAGAAAAGAGCTGTAAAATTGTGATTTCAATGGAGGAATTGAGTTAAGTAAAGCTTTTTGCTATCTTTCCGATGGAGTGATGGCACATGGGCCCATAAAAGGAAAAGACTATGTCTTTGAAAGCACTTCCTGAATTTTCCCCATACATTTCCATAGCCCAAGGCATCTGGCCCACCTCAGCCCACCTAGATCACTTAATTAGCTTACTTGACAGTCCTGTCACTGTCACTCTTAGCCCATCCCAGAGTACTTAATACTTCTTTCACTATTGCACCTAGCCCAGCCTGGACTACTTACCACTCTTAATCCCATCCAGATCTTTTCACTGTCCCTTTTTTTTATATGAGTATCAATCTCATTCCCATTAAGTGCAGATTTGCTAGGAACTCTGCCCACTCCTACTGGCATTACAATAAACCTTGCCACCTTGAATGAAAGAAGGCTTAAGTGCTTAAATTCTTTCCAGGCAGGCTCACCCTGTACCCTGACATTTCCAGTTTCCCAGCAACCCCAAACCATGTGATTGGGATTCTGAGCACCCCAAACTGCATTATCTCTACTTTTCTCCTTATTTGCTTTTCTGATCACTATCTTCTTATTTTCTCTTCTATCTCTTTCCTCTCCTTTTCAACGTGTTTCTTTCCTTGTAGCTTCATTATATCTCTTGCCTCTACCCCACTCTAAAATCTGGGGAGGAAGAGACTTATCTTAACTCAACTGTATAGTTCTCCCAGTTCCAAAAACAGCTCCTCCAACTTCAGCACTATATCTATTATGCTGTGTTGACTCTCACTGCGATGCATTAGAAATTACCCAAACTCAAAAGGATGAAAATCCCACAAATACATCCCTTCTCCCTAGAATCTTTTACCTATTTCTACAGTTTGGTTTTAAATTGTCCCTGAAATTTTATATAACCCTTATATCAGATGCTCCCTGTTACAATGAAGTTCCAGTGCATACACTGAGCAACTTTCAGTTGTTTGGTTCCTTTTTGCCACCCACATTGAACATGGAAACTCCAGTGTCTGGATTCCTCAAGAGAAACCGTCAGTTCCCCTTATGAGCTCTCAGGGTCATATAACTTCAATGCACAGATCAATTTTATTTACATAGCAAAGGACTTACATCTGAATCTGTATAGAGTCATGAGAAACTCTCATGGTGATCCATAAGGAGAGTCACCTTCTCTGCTGCCCCAAGACATGTAAAGTGCTGAGAGAAATGATTATTAAATAACACATTATTGGGGAGATACAGGGATTTTTTCCCTTCCTATAGCCTCATTCTCTACTAGGTCAAGCCAGCATCTGAAAGACATTGCTGATAATGAGAAAGGATAATTTTCTCCTCACTCTTGTTCAGTCAAGTGGAGGAATCCATTATGTTCTACTTGGCCTTGGGAGATGCTTGGGGGAGAGATATTTTGTCTGAATCAGAGCTTCTTAAACTTTTTTCCGTTTGTGACTTCTTTTTGAGTTTTGACAGCACTGGCATTGCATGGAATGCCAACATGCAGAAGTGCAAAGTGTGCATGCTTTGTGTTCAGAACCAAGGGTATAGTGAAATTGCACAATGCAACATGAGCAAGCACTGCCAGAAATACCTGGTGTTTGATTTTGAATCAATTTTTGGTCATTGCACATTCAGAAACCTTTTACTGTTGCCAAAATTTTTAAGAACCCATATGGTATTCAGACTCACAGTTTAAGAAGTGAAGGTTAGATTGCCGAGGCCAGGGTTATCTGGGAGCAAGAGTGATCAAAGTCACATCCTTCCCAGACCCTCATTAGCATAGGTCTACCTCTCATTATAATATTCATTCTTCTCATTAATTGTTAACCAATCAGAGTTGATTGCCACCCTTAGGAACACCCATGTTCATGGGTTCCATGAGGGATCTTTGGTTCAGGAGAGACAGCCAAATCACCAATCTCATTAATTATTAATTATTCCATTAATAATAATTTCATTAATAATTAATTATCTACTAGCAATAGATAATAAAATGATTAATTACCCAGAAATTACGTCTCTGGAACTTTTTATACATCACAGTACTTAGAGAACTCCCAGAAAAAAAGGAAGGCCAATTTGTATTCTTTCATGCCAGCGTCAGTTGCTCTTTTTGCCTGCAGCTTTATCTTCTCCTAATGGTGCTCTGCCTCACTGTTGCCTCCATAGCTGTCAGTTGTTGCTCTGTAACACATTGTTCATTTTCCAGCCTCCTCTGCTCTGCTCTGACAGTCATACAATAACAATCATCAGTGCTAGTTAACTCTCCTTCCAGATACTTGCTAGCATTTGGTCCATGGATTGAACATAGGCTCAAAGCAGTTTATAGCTCTTTAACACATCTACAATATTGAATGACTTGGGCCTAGTTTCATGTTCTATAGTTTTGAACTGAAGTCCCATGGCCCTACACACTATACACATGCTCTTTAGGTGACCGTGGGAATGTTTCTTTTTTTGGTTGTTGAGGTCAGAGTCGGGAGAGTGGTTTGGGTGTGAAAGAATTCACTTAGACTTCTCTTTTAGCCATTGGAGAGCTTTATTAACGTGAAAGCACATGGACCTTTACTTTAGCAATGTGGTTGAGTGAAAGGTACTAATATTTGGGGGAGACTAGGCCTACATAGACAGAAAGCTATACAGTCAACAGATGTTCAGGATGACAATGCAGTTTTAGGGTTTTATGGTGGTTAAAGATTAAGAACAGGCCAGGGAGGACACAGGTTAAAGATTAAGGACAGAGGGGACACAGGATAAGGGAGACAAAAGCAATTCTTTTGGTACAAGTTAAGAAGTTTTATGGTATTTCAATATAAGGGGAAATAAATGGACTTTAGGATGCTCTCAAGTTACAGAACAGGCCTCCCCTCAGGAAGGGCCTCACAACCCTTAACGTTCTTTTTTTTTTTTTTAAGGCAATTGGGGTTAAGTAACTTGCCCAGGGTCACACAGCTAGTAAATGTCAAGTGTTTGGTTTGAGGCCAGATTTGAACTCAGGTCCTCCTGACCTCAGGGCCAGTGCTCCATCTACTGAGCCACCTAGCTACCCTTCTTTAACATTCTTCTTATCCACAGCAGGATCACAGGAACAAATTTCTCAATCCAAGTTAGTACATAGTGAATCCATCACCTTTTGTCTTTTCCACCTGGACAGTATATTTCTGGTGTCAACTCTTCTCTTGAATCTTTTTGTAGTCACATTGTCAGAATGCTCTCTTATCATTTGTCTTTTCACTTTGGGTTTTCTTCCTTGACAGCTGGACTGGATTATACAAATTACCCTGGGCAGCTGCTTTCATTTTATGTAATCAAACAAAAAAACTTTACCAATTTTAATGTTATCACATTACTGAGTGAATAAATATTTGCCCTGGAAGAGGACAGATCTAGAAACCAAAGGTAAGATTTAGCTGAAAACTTTTGCCAAAATCTGTGCCAGGGAAAATAAGTAACCAATCAAAAGAAATCCATATTTCTATCACTTTAATCCCTAGAGTTTAGAATGTCAATTTGTTTGATGTTGCCATTAGCTCCAAGAGCCCCAAAGCCTTCTCTAATTAACTTAATGGCTCAACCCCTAGAAATATTTTGTAATAAAGGGTTTTGTGGGGTATTCTCCAGATTCTAAAGGTAGATATTAGGGATTAAGCAAATCAATCAAACACCTTAATCATTAGTAAACTAGAAATAGAAATGATTTTTAGCTATGATAACTTTTTCTCAGAAATGATGAGCAATGATTCATTAACACCACCCCCACCCCATTGTTATTGTTTGTCCTTGTTTTTGAAGAAGACCAATGACATCACAGGTGATGTCTTGACTTGCCCAATAATTGGCTTCAAATGAAGCAGAGTTGCCCAGTCTTCAGCCTCACTCTCTCATCCACACTCACCAAAGTCCAGTGGCAGGACAAAAGTCAAGACAAATGGTGATGGCCCAGCATGCAGTGGATGACCACGATCTCTTTGATGTCTGACCATGCTCTAAGCACTCCATAGTGACTGCTTCAGTCACCTTCATGACTTTGGAACAAATTGTTCTCATCCGACCATTCTGCTGCAGAAGTCTTCACATGCTTGTGCACTGATGAGTTTGAGGAATGTCAGTTACCCTCAATCTGATTTAGCCCCTCTACTGAGACGGTTTACCTGGGGTTGTGGCTGCTGCACATGCTATAGCTTCTTGGAACCACAGGTGAGAGTTGGGTGACCAGTTAGATCCCAAAGGTCGATGAGCAGCCCTGAAAAGGACTCAAAAATCCCTCACACCAGAGAGGCTAGTCCTCCCTGAATACCATAACCACCACCTCCTACAAAAAAAAAAAAGCAAAAAACAATAACTAAAAAAACCCAAACAACTCAGTAGAAAGAACTACTCTTACTCGCTTAAGTCCATCTGCTTCAAGATCATTGAATCACCCATGGTGTGATAATGTGAAAGGAAAACTTTCTATGGAAAGAAATCCAAGGGGTCAGCAGACCTAACTTCGAGACCTGCTTCTTCTATCAACCTGTTGTATGATTCAGGGCAATTAATTTCATCTCTTTGGATTTCAATTTCCTCATTTATAAAAAGAGGAAGTTATATCAAATGATCATTAAGGTCCCTTCTGACACTAATAAATTGATATGTCCCAGAGTTTTTAGCTGCTGCTTGCTTTAGGAAAAATAATATGGACAAAGAAAAATAATAAAGTAAATTTGCTACTATTGCTTTGGAAGACTGAGAGACATTTTGTCATAGTGGAGAGAGAACTGGCCTCAGAGCCAGGAAGGTGTAGGTGTCTATGACCTCTAATAAATATTGTCTATTTGACAAGACATTTAACCTTGCACTGTCCCAAGCCATTCTCTAAAAGTCTAAGTTGCAGAGAAGTTGCTGGCCTGCATAGGTAGAAGGGGTTATCTTATATAGGAATTCCCTATACCAGTGGGCAACTAGGTGGTGAAGTGATGGAGTGCTAGGCCTAGAGTCAGAAAGATTTATCTTCGTGAGTTAAAATGGCCTCAGACACTTCATAGATATGTGACCCTGGGCAAGTCACTTAACCCTATTTGTCTCAGTTTCCTCATCTGTACAATTAGCTGGAGAAAGAAATGGCAAGCCACTCCAGTGTCTTTGCTAAGAAAATGCCAAATACAGTCATGAAGAGATAGGCACGACTGAAAATGATAACATATTAGTGAAACCACAGGTCTCCTCCTTTTCCCAGATTAATAAGGATGAGTAGAAGAAAGCTATTTTTTGTTTCTAAAATGCTGGGAGCAGTGTTAATTTAAAGGGTGAAGACAACCAGACTAGAAATCCAGCTAATCTGTTGTGGGGCTTCTGTAGTCATTATACAAGAAGATAATTTTGATATCTTGCTCTAAATGTTTGACCTTCAGTGGAGGAGGCAATATTTATCTTAACCCTAGCATCTGGGAGGAGGGAGTGCGTTTTGGACTCTCAGAAGAGTGTAAAGAGGGAGAATGGTAATTTGAGCAATTTTCCAATCAACCCAGTGAAATAACAAGATGTGAATCATTTTCTGCAATAACTGCAGGGTACTTCCTCGTGGAATATAAGCAAATCCACTAGCGACTGATTGGGTTTCAGAGACTGCAGCTGCCTCCTGATGAATAGCTGGCTGAAAATTAGCTGTCTCTCTCCATTGTCTTTGATAGTCAGCTTAGGACTTCCTCTTTGCCTTTTCCCCTTGTGTCTTCTTTCAGAGTTCATCAAGGTGGAGTAGAGGGGATATCTTACTTCCTCCTCTCTCCATCCTTCTTCTCTAGCATTCCCCCAACACAAACACAACAGTTGAAGGTGACCTGGCCGGAGCAAATGGAAGCAGAATTGCTGGCACAAGGCCTGAGAGGGTGATTGAAAGTTAGAAGGGAACTTAGAGCTCAATTAATCGTAAGATCACAGGTTTATTAATATTTCTTGACCTTCTTAAGGAAATTGACATTCAGAGAGATTAAATGACTTGCCCAAAGTTGAACGTATGCTAAGTTGGGAGATTTGAAACTAGTTCCACTGATTAAAAATCTATCCTGGTAGATAGACCTCAACTCCTGTGTGGAAGAGTAAGAATTTTGAATTCTCTGAGCAGCATTATCCTAGAATCTAGTCTTCTAACTTAGAGAAATGAAATTTCCTGGGCAGCCTTGGAAATTGCCTTATGGGTAGCTCTAAACTTAAGAGTTTATGAGTTCAAGAGTTTGACCACTAGACCTCCTAGAAAAAGATTTTCTGATGAGTTTCTGATGATTATATTCCTTGGATAAAGAAGAGAAAGGTTCACACGGTTCCTGAATGCAGAATTCTACTTTAAGAAGAAAATTGGTTAGTTATGTTATAATGTAGGCCTAATGGAAGAGGATTTGATTATTTAGCATCTCCCAAAGTGATATTTACCCTCTGGGGGTTGTCTAAACCCCCAGGGTGACACTATGAGTTTGAAAGGGACTCTGTGTGTGTGCGTGTGTGTGTGTGTGTATAAGATCCTGAATGTGTGAAAAAGATTTCACCGGAATGTCAGAGTGCTTCCCCAATAGTAACCATTTATTCAAGTCCCTTCCTTTAGGTGATGTGGAGGGCCTGGAGGCAGCAGAAGAGAGTAATAAGTTATTTGACTACTTTATGTGTTTTTCTCTGTTTATGAGATAAATGAATCCTTTGTGCCATTTGCTTCTCTGTAGGGTGAAATACAACAGTCCCATACATAAGATACAGTTAGTATCTTAGGTATTTGTTCAGGAACTGGGGACCCCTATCATCCACATTTGGAAAAACCTAGACACAAGATATAAAATGACTATGTTTAGAGCAGGAATTCTTAAACTTTTTGGGTGTGTCATAGGCTGCTTTAACAGTCTGGTAAAGCCTAACCTTCTAAGAATAATGTTTCTAAATACATAAAGTACATAGAAATGTGAAGGAAAGAAATCATATTGAAATACAGTGATTTTTTTTAAATAACAAGTTCACAGATCCCAGGCTAAGAACTCCTGATTTAAAGATTTTCCTGGAGTATTTCAGGTAAGGGCAATTAGCCAAAAAAGGGGAAGGGAATAAGCTTGTATATAATGCCTACTACGTGCCGGGTATGTGTTGAGATAGGCATTGAGATAGAGAAACTGACTGTCTTGGATCAGGTCACCAGAATTGGACCTGGTCCATGCGCATACAGAATATTTTTTAGAAATTTGAAAAACAGCCACAGCTGATATGACTCAGTAAATTTGTAGTCAGTGTAGGAATTGAAAGAATGGTAGTTAGTGATACAATCTGAATCATCAACTATTTTCCATTATATATGTTTCCATATGCTCTACTCTAAGAAATTGTTTGTATTAGACCTTAATGCTGTCAACTTAACTCCACAAGCAGGAAATGTGATTGCACTCAGAGGAAGCATGGGGTGAAGAGTAATAGGAAGTTATAGATGCTTCTCTTGGAATGAGAATAGAGATTTCTGAATGAAGCTTTGTGACTGCAAAGGGCTAAGTGAGAGGAAATTATCAGGAAACATGGGAGGGTCATAAAAGAGAATGAAGTACAGCAAATATTGAATAATTACTACTAGAAATTAGGTGAGGATAAACCTGAGGATACAGTGGGGTGGAAAAGTGGGTAACCACTGACAAGGGAGTAACTAAACATATTACGGCATATGAATGCAATGGAATACCACCTCACCATGAGAAAATGCTAATATGGGTAATTCAGAGAAACACTGAAAGATTTATATGAACTGATATGGAATGAAGAAAGCGGGAACAAAGTAAGAGATAAACAATGACAATAACAGTATGAATGAAAATAATGATAAAAGATAGCTGAATTAAAATTCTTACAATGATCAATCAATTTTGGTCCCAGAGAAGAGATGATGATATGTGTTTCCTTCTTTTCAATACAGGTGAGGGACTACAGGTTCAGAATGTTAAATGCAACATTAGTTGTACTTGGTTTTGCTTAATGATGGAGGGAAGGTTCAGTGTTGAAGGGTATATAAATGAAGTGACTGTTATAAAAAACAAGAGATTTCTATAAAACATTTTTTTAAATGAAAATAAAAGAAGGGAATAAGCTGGACTCTAGTGTTGTAGGGTTGTATGTTTGTAGTGTATAAGATTACATAAGGGACAACTAGCCCTTCATTTGGGGCTCACTTGGGGATACTACAAACTATAGGTAGGTTTCCAACAGAGAAATTAATAGTAGCTAGCACTTATGTAGAGCTATGAGATTTGCAAAGCACATTACAAATTTTCTCATTTTAGCCTCACAACAGCCATGAGACACAGGTGCTATCATTATCACCATTTTGCAGATAAAGAAACTGAGGCATATAGAAGTTAAGTAACTTGCCCAGGGTTACATAGCTCGTAAGTGCCAGAGGCCAGATTTGAAGTCAGTTCTGACTACAAGTCCACCTAGCTGACCTCCTTGCCTCAATAATAGCTTTGCTCTACCACATCCAAGGCTGTGATATAGAAGGACCTAAGTTGAATTGGCACTAGCAAATGAGTGGAGGGACCTGGATTAATGAATGAATTAATACAGCATTTATTAAGTGCTTACTATGTGCAAAGTACTATGCAAGTAGAAGAATAGGACAGTCTCTGCTCTTAAGGAGCTCACATTCTAATGGGGAGTCATACAGAAAAGGTTTCAGTTGCAAATCAGATGGAAAAGTCACACAGTCCTTAGGTTGCAGAAGCATAGCAGAAGGTAATGCTACTTCTCTGCTGATAAAATCATTACTTTCTGCTGTTGAACCATCTGACACTGAGCCAGAACTGCTGCTATTCCAAAGGCTAATGTGATCCAGGCTGCGCTGAGAGTCACTATTTCTGGGAGCAGGATGGTAGGTAACAGTCCCGCTGTACTGACTGACTTATTCTGTTCTGAGTGCCACCATTTAAGAATGACATGGATAAGCTAAAGATTGTTCAGAGGAGGTTGATCAGGATGATGAAAGTCAATTGTGTTATAAGGTGATTATGATAAGAACAAAGAAAGTCCAGGTGCTATGAAAAAAAAATTAATTACAGTAGACTTCAAGGCAGTGTTCTATAGTTGAAAGAAAACTGGATTTGTGATCAGAGGACCTGATTTCAGATCCCATCTCTGACCCTTACTGTCTGTGTGACCCCACTGAATAAGCCAATTAACTTCTTGACCTCACTTTCTTCATCTGTTGAAAACAAAAGGCCTTGGCTAGATGACCTCCAAATAAACTTTTAGCTTGAAATCTATGATCCAAGTTGCTTAAAATCATACTCAAGACAAAGGATAAAAATCTTAGCTTTTAAAAAGGCAAAACCCAAGTAAAATAACAAGCAATTTGAAGGTAAGACATCACTTTCAACTGGAGGGATAATGGTAAAGTTCATAAGATCATAGATCTGGAAGGGACCTCATTGGGTCCAACCCCTTTATTTTACAGATAAGGAAACTGAGGCCCAGAAATGTTAAATCACTTGACTGAAGTGATAGAGCTAGTAATAGCTAATATTTATATAGTGTTTTAAGGTTTGTAGATCACTTTACCTAAATTATCTCATTTGATCTGTGGGTTTTGTTGTCAGTTATTTCAGTCATGCTCAACTCTTCATGACCCTATTTGGGGTTTTCTTGGCAAAGGTATTGGAGTGGTTTGCTCATTTTATAGATGAAGAAACTGAGGGAAACAGAGTTAAGTGACTTGCCCAGAGTCATAAAGCTTAGTAAGTGTCTGAGGCTGGATTTGAACTCAGGTCTTCCTGACTGCAGTCCCAGCAATCTATCCACCGTGCCACCAAACTGCCTCTAACCCTGTAGGAGGTAGTTACTATTATTATTCCCACCTTGTAGATAAAGAAATTGAGGTTGAGAGAGAGTGAGTTGTATGACTTGCTCAAGGTCGCATGGACAGTAAGTGTCAGAAGCAGTATCCAAAGCCAGGTTTTGAAGATTCCATGTCCCTCACAATGCTCACTATAACAGGCTACCTCTAAAATCTGTGTTGTCAGAAGCTGGGCCTTGAGGAAATAGAAAGACTTCAGTATATGGCAATGGCAAAGCAGTCCATTCCAGGAATGAGGACTGATTGAGATTGAACAAAAGCATGAATACAGAAGAGAGTAGGATAAGATGGGGTGAAGTCCAATGTAGCTGGTCTATAGAGCACATGCCTGGGAAGAGATGACTGGAAAAGTTGATCAGAGCCAGATTGTGGAGACTTTGATCATCAGTTTTGTTGACAATGAAGACCTGCTGGAAGTTTTCAAGTATGTAATCAGGATGGTGTACCAAGGGAGCTTAAAATGACTTAAGAGATAAGTCAGAGAAGATGATGAGTTCAGTTCTGAACCAACTGAGGTTGAGGTACTGATGGGAAAATCTAGGCAGAAATTTCTAGTAGCAGCTGGAAATATGGAAGTTGAACTCTGGGAAGGAAATCTATATGTGAGATAGACATCTGCATAAAATGATAATTAAACTGAAACCGTGGGAGTGGATAGGATTAATGGAGGATAAAGTATAGAGACAGATAAAAAAAAGAGGACTGACCTCAGAGAACACCTCTGCTTAACAAGCAGGTGATGAAGAACAATAAAGAAGCAGACTGAAGCAAGAGGAGAATCACGGGGGGGGGGGGCAGCTAGGAGGTGCAGTGGATAGAGCACCTGCCCTGGAATCAGGAGGCCCAGAGTTCAAATCTGGTATCAGACCAGACACTAGACACTTACTAGCTGTGTGACCTTGGGCAAGTCACTTAATCCTAATTGCATTGCACAAAGAGAGAGAGAGAGAGAGAGAGGGAGAGAGAGAGAGAATCATAAAAATAGACATCATGGAAGCAGTGTGTTACAGTGAGGAGGTAAGTGGCACCAAAGGGCATAGGTTGACATCCCAGCTCTGCTACTTTCTAGCTGTATGACCTTGTATAAACAATTTCAGCTCTCTATGACTTATTTTCCTGACTTATAGATTAGGACATTGGACTAAATGATCTTATAATTCTCAGTTGAGAGGAGGAGAAGGTGGTCAATAGTGCCAAACTACTGTAGTTTATAAGAAATTCAGAAATGGGTGGGTGGTAAAGAAGTGAATAGAGATAACTTTAGAAATCAGACATTTGAGAAGACAGAGAGCAAATGAGAGTGAGAATATATCAGGTCAAGGTCATGCGTCCTAGAATAGGGGAAAGCTAAGCATGTGTGTAGTCTGAGGTAAATGAGGCTGTAGAGAGTGGGACACTGGCTCCATCTTAGAGTTGGTCTTTAGAGTATTCTGCAGGATGAACTTCTCCCTGCCTACCAAACTCCATATTCAATGCAAACATCTTTCCCTAGCAATCCTGAGCTTTGCTGGGACATGTGATATAAACCTCAGTCCTTTGATTCAGAAGCCAGTGCTCTGTACTCACCTTCCTTCCTCCTTTCTTTAATTCCTTCCTTCTTCCCTTCCTCCTCAGGCTTTGTTCAGATGTGCTGTCCTGGTTTCCTTCCTTGTGAAGACACCAGTGGCATTATGTCTGACTCTTTGGAGTTTCCTGTCCTGTCTTTGCCACACCTGTAGACAGGTGTTGGCATGAGGAATTTCGGGAAACATCCTGGTTATAAAGTCTGGCACCCTTATATTAAGGACAGCTTCCCTTCACTGAAACCTGAGGATGAGACATGGGATGGCTTGAGACAAGTAGGTTCTAACATTATTTTTCGTTTCTGACTTAGTTCAGACCCAGAATGGGAAAGCTGTTTTCCTGTTGTAGAATGAACAGTATTTAGCTTTGAGGCCTCTGATTATGCAAAATGCATCTAGTCACTTGATGAACTGATTCTAGGAGTATTATGTTATTTCTTGCTTAGGAAACTGTGTGGTATAAATGCAATTATTCATAAGAGAAAAGAACAAATCACTTTTTAATCTGCTTGTCTTTCTATTATTGCTCATCCTCAACTTCAAAAGAAAAGCTGGCTAAAGGAAAATATTCAGACGTGGAATGTAAATGTTCTTACTTGTATCTTAAAGGGACATTGATTACATTTTTTCATTACATACACTGTTATTATCAACAACATTTCATCCATATGTATTATAAATAGTGTGTGACATAAGGAGCAAGTTGTAAGTTATCTCCCATGTACTACATAGTATTAGTTTAGAATTTAGTACATCGTGTAGCCGAAGGTATAGAAGAACTAAATCAGAAGGCCTGGGTTTGAATCCCATCTTTGCTTCTAATGACTTGTGTGACCCTGGATAAGTCTCTGCATCTCAAGCACACTGGCCAAAAAGATTTTTAAGGTTCCTTCTGGCTGTAAATCCTATGAACTTGTGTTTGAACTGATATTTGTCTTTTAAGCAAAGAAAGATAATTACTCTATATTACTATCAGCATAGAGATGACTTCTCATGTTAAGAATGACCTGTTTTTAAAATTAGAATTCAGTGTATAAAGCACCTCTGTTTATGTTGAGAAGGCTGATGTGTCTCCTAGAATTGTTCTCATTCTATGAGTCAGAAAAGGTTAAATAAACATCACGTATGTCCTAAGATAATTATAGACTTTTGGAAACAAAAACATGCAGCAAGCAATAAACAATTAAACTTTTTTTGTCTTTCCCTTTTCATTATTTTGGACTTCCAATCTTTTTACTCACCATAGTGGTCTTGTGGGAAACTCACTGTAATTTCAAGGGTTGGTCGGTTGTTGCTTTTTAGAGGGAGGAAGATTTTCACTGGCCAACTGCATGTGTGAAAAGTTATTTATTCCACATCTTGTCTCATTAAATAGGCACATGATTAGCTTTATTGGCAGTGTAAGAGTGCAGAGCTTTACGGCACGTCATCCCCAATATAGTAATTCTGGTTTACCTGAGTCCAACATCAAGTTTTTTTGTTTGTGTTTATAAACATGAAGTTAACCTAACAATCATTTATTGAGAATCTACTATTTTCACTATAGGTTTTGAGCAATTAGTCTATAATCTGTCCAGCATGTATATTTCTACCTTTGAATACTTCTTTATAATACTGTATACTGACTATACCGTTTTTAATATTGCTCAAAGTCTTACTGGCTCATTTGAAAACATTGTTCTGATAACATTTGTGTCTGCTAGATAATTTGTCATCTGGACAATAATTTTCCTCTGAAAATTTCTGTGGGAAAATCTACACAGAATCAAAATAGGAGAAGTGACTCTTGCTAATTAAGTAAGTTGAAACTAAAATTATGTTTTTCCTCCATTAATCTATGAGGTGTGACATCAGTCTAAGTTGGTGCCACTGGAGACAGGCCTAAAGACAGGAGAATCCATAAGTAGGCAATGACTCAGTTTACACCTAAGGAAATACACACACACACACACACACACACACACACACACACACACACACACCCTTTTTCTGCTTATTGATCCCCCTAAAGAAAATGCACCAAACATTCCACACAAGGGATTGTTGATATAGAAGGCATTAAACTATAGCCAAAGAAATAATCTCATTTCAGTCTCTATCTTTCCTAGTGATTGAGTGGATCCCTCAAATACCTTCAAACAAGACTCAAGCCAACACTGTACCGCAGCATTTGACTAAGAATTTCATAGAAGGAAAGAACCATACTAACTCCACCAGAAGCTTGAAATTTCCTGATGGGACAAGTGCCACTTGGTATATTCTCACCATCTTTAGTATATATGGCATTATATTCTTCTTTTTGCTGGCCAGCAATATCCTCCAGAATGAAAAGCGCTTGGAAGATATTTATTATCCAGATCTCACAATCAAGCTGAAAAGAAAAAAAGCTCCAAGATAAAAACACCAAAAATAGCTTATTAAGTATGAATTTGTCATCCTGAAATAAATCAAAGCTATGAGTTGAGGGATAAAGCATGTTTAATTGAGATAACAGGGTAGTAAACCTGACACTCTGGGAGATGTCACATAAGTACAAAGCCCAATGGATTTCCCAACTACAAGACCCATGCAAAAGCTTCTTATACCTTTAAGAGGAGAGGGGAGAGGAGGAAGTATAAGGTAGCAAGCCCCAGTCAGGAGACCCCAGTGGCTTTTGGCAATCCAGGCAAGGAAAACCACTTCATTCTGGCTGTTTTATCCTTCAAGCCATGAATTCCAATGGAAGAGGGCAAGGAAGAAGAAACTGAGATCCAGCTTAAGCTAGGTTCCTTTACAAGGTAAAATCTCTTAGGGGAGGGGGGTTCAGCTCAACCTAATCAAGAATACATATCTTAAGGATATTTGTATATGTAAGGACATATATGGAATATAAGAACATTTCTGAAATCCTGGCATTGCTAAAATCATCAAGGGAGTGGCAAGTAACATTTGGTATTAACAATTTTCTGTTATTAACAATTATATTATCAATTTTTCTGTCATTCCCCCCTCTGATTCTGAAAAGGCAGAGTCTTCTCATTGAATCACTAACTGCTATGACACTCAATAATATGGGGAAAAGAGAGAGAGAAATTGATGAACACATTGACAAAAGCGTGGTGGAAGCAGTTTTCAACAAGCAAGCAGAACAGAACCGAACACAGAAGAGAGGAACATAGGGAAGAAGTAAAAAAGGGAAAGGATCAGCTTCTTAGCAGATTTGCTTCTCCAGTTCAGGTCACCTGAAGATATTCCTCTTTCTATTAAAATCTCTTACAGATTAGATCTTAATCCAATTCAAGTTTGCTTTGTCAATAACCAGGTCAGGTATTGAAAGGTAGCTCAAATCTTGTAGCTCTGATAAGAACATCAAATTAGAAAATTCTAGACCAGAGAATTTACATTTTTCCATATTCTTTGCTACTCCTATCCATATCTCAACTACATATTCAGACACTACCAACAAGTTGAAAGGAAAATCTGAAAACAATCTATGAGAATATGATTTGTAGAATTTTCCCTTTTAGTTATGAATTTGCTATCTGACAACATAGTTATGTGGGCTAAGGCTAAAAGATGCCTTTTAAATTGGCATAGACTCCACCATCATTAATTTCTGGTGTTCATCTATTTCATTCAGCACCTCAAATTCAAGTTCAAGAAAGGGAAGGAACTTCAATTTATCACCTATATTCACCTTGTGATGTGGGTTAACAAATCGTCATGTTGATATATTTGGAATATTCAAATACAAACTAAAAAGTTAGAAAATTCTGAACCTAATTCTTATATATGACACATATAATTATTTGATTTTGTAACTGATAAATCCAATGCGCTCTGCAGTCTTGGGACATACCCTAGGGTGGCAGGTTTGCCACCCTGTTATCTCAATTAAAGATGCTTTGTTCCTCAACTCATGGCTTTGATTTATTTCAGAATTTGACAATAGTGATGTCCTGGAGCAAATCCAGGTAAGCCCAGGACCAAAGCAGGGAAACGACAGCTTAGAGAAACAACCCTAAACTCAAAGATTACCAAGAAGTCAGAGACAAGCATTATTTAGCACACTCCAATGTGCTAACCTGTGCTGAACCTGAACATTGGTCATTTCTGGGAAAATATGACCTCAAGCTAAAGGATTGTTAATTTGCAATGATTAAACAAATGTTGGGGAAAGGAAGTAGGGGTAGGGTTGCTTTGTCCTCCACTCCACGATGGCTGACTGAAGTAGGGGGAACACTGTTTCAAAGATGTGTCAGACAGCGAGGAGAAGTGACCTACTCAACATACTTTTAAAAAGCCGTCTTTGGTGGGCAGCTAAGTAGTGCAGTGAATAGAGCACTGGCTCTGGATTCAGGAAGACCTGAGTTCAAATCTAGCCTCAGACACATAACTCTAACTAGCTGTGTGACCCTCGGGCAAGTCACTTCACCCCATTGCCTAGCCAAAAAATAAGTAAATAAAGCCCTCTCTGTCTCTTTTCCTTTGAACCAATGTGTGACAAGTAGCTTTGCCTACCTGGGCTTCCCATGAGGGGTGGAAAATGAACTACCCCTCCCCATCCAGCAGAAATAGTGAACTTGGAATCACATGGCAGATGTCACTTCTGCTACCTTAAACAAACTTATACCTGGACTTCTGATCCCTGGATGCCTCTTTTGTTTTATATTCTTTACCTTGCGATTGAGCAGTGCTTTTGAGATGCAGGCAACCCTGCAGGCAATATTGGTAGCTGGAGATGCCCAAAGATCCAAGGTCCCTCTAAGAGCTGACTGGCATCCTGGCATCAGGAGAATTTCTGCATCAGAGAGGATGAGCATGGACAAGGGGAAACATTCCACTCCTATCTAGGCTTACCAGAAAGAAGGCATGGACCTTGAAGGAGTTGTTCAGACAGTGCAGAGTCAAGATGAAGTGTAAATTGTTTATTCAGCAGTCCCCCAAACTGCATCATGTTTTAATCTCAAGATGTTAAATTTCAGCCTCCTGGAAGAATATGAGAGAAGTTAGAGGCTTGTTAACTCTTCTGTCAATGTGTACCTGTAAGTCTTTGTGTTTTTAGCCTTTCTTGTGTAGAGGAAATAAAATAGTTGTCCTATACTGGATCTATATTGTACATTGAGTACCTCTTTACACCCCCTCCCTCACCCTGCTCCCAGGAGACATTAGATGTGAACCAAATTTAAACTTTAAGAAATTTTCCTCAGGGCTTTGAGGTAGAGGTGTATGTAAAAAGTAAAAGAGCACAAGAAAAATGCCTAGCTTCTCTATATAGAGACAAGGAAGGGGGGAGGGGGGAGGAAGGGGAGAGGGTGTATCCAAGGCTGAGAGGATCCCCTGAGGGGATAGAAGGGTAAGCACCCTAGTTGCCTAGTACCAGCAGCAACTCTTCCTATTTCATTTTTATGGGAAACTTCTGAATAAGGAAACTCCCTCTCCCCTTGCTGTTTGGCACCTTCCCCTCAACTTGGAGTCAAAGAGTTGTCTATGCCATAGCACTGAGCCTGTATGCTTAGCCATTCTTTCTTTCTTTTTTTTTTTTTGCTTTTTGATGAGGCAATCAGTTAAGTGACTTGCCCAAGGTCACACAGCTAGTGAGTGTAATGTGTCTGAGGCCAGATTTGAACTGAGTTCCCCCTGACTCCAAGGCTGGAGCTCTATCCACTGTGCCACCTAGCTGCCCATGGTTAGCCATTCTTGGTGATATAATTGTCAGCTGACAGAAGGGGATAATAACTTGATCCTTCTCTGCTCAGCTTCAGGCAGAACAAGAAGTTTTGAAAAAGCAGATAGCAAAAAGTCATAGATGGACATGGTAGTTTTCTATTGTTAATCGGATTGGACCTCACTGATTCAAAACTGGGTTATCCATTGGAAGGTAGGGACTAGCTCCGGACCTCGGGTCTAGCATAGAACTACCCTCAGGAGGTGCTGAAGAATAGGTTGTCGAGACCCTAGGAAAAAAGATAATAATTGCACATTACCTGACTAGGCTCGAAGTAAGTGAGTATGGCTGAAAGATATGCTGGTCTTCTGAAAAGTCTCTCTTTTTTGCTTGATTTCTCTTGGTTATCTTCCTAGCAGGTAGGAAAGCAGTGCTGATTTTTATTTTCCTTTTTGGCCCTTCTGATGGATAAAGGAAAAAGCAGTAATGGCAATGCTGTCTATCTTGCTCTCTCACTCTATGTGTGGCTTTCTCTTACTTCTTACATCTGGTAGGATCTAGAAAGGCCTTGGGTCAAAATAACCTAGTTTCATCCTATTTATAGGCATTGTGGGGAAAATAATCTATTACTTATTAATATTACTTGAACCTAGCTTTATGTGGCTGGAAATTATCTAACCCAAGGCTTACTGTAGAGGTCATGCTGACTTCAGAAACCCTCTAGGGAAGCCAGAGACCACTGTAAAGAATACTTAGATCCTATCCAGGTATTGTTTTGTGTCTGCCCACCCAGATTTTGGATCCACCCAAAGGGCTTATGTTGTGGGTTCCCCAATAGCTTGTGTTTTGGCTTTGCCCAAATTTTATTGAATGTTTATTCCTACCTGCTGATACACGTCTCAAGCAACCTTACCTGAAAGTTGCCCTTTTCTGGAAACTGCCTAAACACTACTTGCTTGCCACCCAGCCGTCTGTCCTTGGTAGATATATAATGTCACCTCACAGAGACTTGAGAGGGGAGACACACCTTTTTCCTACTCTCTCTCTTTGGCCAAATGACAAAATTCTTTTTTCAGGTTTTGGGGTTTGTTCTTGACTGACAGAATACTCATGTCTCTAAGGTTACCATTATGTCCTCAATATATAGAAGTCATTTTCAATATATTTGGTCATTTGTATTGAGCTAGAAATTACTCCTTTCCCCAGTGTCATAAAAGGTAACCACTTCGCCCTTAAAGCTAAGTAAAAGCTCTGAGGCTCTTCCCAAAGAGAAGAAAGCTTGACCTTATGAGGAGGAAGTAGCTCTTTGTATTCTAAGGAATGATAATGTGGATGTACAGGTGCTCTCAGGTGAGTTATCACCAGTAAGGGTCAGAGGAAGAAGAGACATTACGGACTGTTAGTAATTTCCTGTTAAGCAATACTAAAGCAATTATATGTTGCCTTCAGAACAGTACATAAGTTTGCCTGTTGATAAGGCATGTATCAAAGACATAATAAAGAACCTCCCTTGCAGGACTTGTCAACCAGATGATTATGATCCAACTATGATGATTTAATTGGTCACAAATTATACTCCAGGACAAATCTAGAAAGCAGCATTAAAGATTAACAGAAATCTCGGGCAGCTATTTGTGTTAGCAAAAAAGAAAAAAGAAACAAAAAGGATACCCATTGACTAGGGAAAGGCTGGACAAAAAATTATGAAATATAACATGGAAACTATTTATACCATAAGAAGTGATGAATGTGAGGAATTCAGAGAAATAAGGAAAAACATAAATGATGTTATTCAGGCTGGGAGTTGAAGCTCAACATAAGTAAGGCGATGATAGGTGATCATCCTTTATGAGTTCAGGTCACTAAGTATGACCAAATAGTACTGTGAGGTTTCAAAAGAAATAGATGATGTTATTGCTAAATCACTGTCAGTGATGTCTGAAACAAACTGTTGAGTATGGGAGAGATACCATAGAATTGGAGAAGGGCAAAAGTCATGGTTTTTTATAAAGGGAGAGAAAAAGGAGGAGTCTGAAAATTATATGACAATGAGCTTAACTTTGACTCCTGGTAAAATTCTACAATGTACTATTAGAGGAGTGACCATTGAATATCTAGAAAATGAAGTAGTGATCACAAAACACCAACTTGACTTCATCAGCTCAATGTTTGACTAACCATGCTTGCTTCTTTTGACAGAATTATACTGGTAAGGAGATTAGGTTCAGAACTAGTTGAGTGATTTTTTTTTGTTTAGTCATGTTTTCAGTCATGTCTCACTCTTTATGACCCTATTTTGAAGTTTTCTTGGCAAAGATACTAGAGTGGTTTGCCATTTCCTTCTCCAGGTCATTTTACAGATGAGAAAACTAAGGTGAACAGGGTTAAGTGACTTGCCCAGGGTCACACAGCTAGTATGTGTCTGATGCTGGATGAGTCTTCTAGGCTCAGCACTCTATCCACTTCACTATCTAGCCATCCCAGTAGTTAAGTAGTGCAGTATTTAAGTTTACTTGGAGTACAGAGTATAGGAAGGGGAGTAATATAAATAAGAATAGAAAGATACACTGGTGTCTTCTTCCTTTGTGGTGGTGAAATTATTATATTTTGCTTTTCAATTCATCTTTTAAGATGTCATTCATAAGAATCATTTTGAGAGCATTGTGAGGAGGCAATTCCTCTAATATTTATTGTAGAGATCCCTAAGCAAAACACTTTTGCTTAGCAAAATTTAGTACCCACTAAAGATTACTCTGGAACCTACCTGACCTGAATATTTATTTTATGTCTTTTGTTTTCATATCGAAGTCATTTTGGATATGGCACCCTACCACATCCTAAATAGGTAGGCTTTTCTTTTCTTTTTAGGAGTGACATGTATAGATATGAATTTATGCATAAGTTTATTTTGAGAGTGATATGAAGGATAAAAAGGAACAGTGAGTAGAGACAAGAAAATTTACTAGGGAATTACAACAACAATAGATGTGGGGTGGTGATGATGGCCTGCACTGAGTGGGTGGCAGGGAGAGCAGATAGGAAAGGCTAGATGTGAGAGATGTTAGAGGCTGGACTGACAGAACATGGTAACTAAGTTATTAAGGCAGATAATGATGCCCAAGTTTCAAACAAGGCAGTCAGGGTAAACAGTAGTACCACAGGCCTTCTCCATAATAAACTTAAGAGAAGCAGGGATTTGGAAGAAAGATAAGTTTGGTTTCGGACATGTTGAGTTTAAAATGCTTAGGGGAGGGGCAGCTAGGTGGCGCAATGGATAGAGCACCAGCCCTGGATTCAGGAGGACCTGAGTTCAAATTCAGCCTCAGACACATAACACTTACTAGCTGTGTGACCCTGGGCAAGTCACTTAACCCCACTGCCTAACCAAAAAATAAAAATATAAAATAAAATGCTCAGGGGATATCCAAGTGGGGAGACATTCTATTGAAACTCTGAAAACAATGGTGTGTGATTCTTAGAAATGTCTCAGCAGTAATAAAGGCCATTATGAGGTCATCATAACCCCACACTTGCCAAGTCTCTGCAGATGTAACCACCAAGCTTTCTCAAACACTTAAGAAACCACCATGCTTCTCTTTGCAAATCGTCTCTTAAGACATGTCATTCACAGGAATACTTTTGACAGCATTGTGAGGAGGCAATGTCTCCAGTATATAAAAAGTCTAAGAAGCCTACAATCTGATGGATTTAAAACCATCTTTTTAGGGGAAACAGATATCCCTGAACATCTTGTCACAGGAGAAAGCCTGGGTGATGAAAATTTCACACATAACCCAACATGGAGTGTTGTACATGCTGGAAGCAGTCTAGGATGGGTTCCTTGGAAATATCGAATGTTCCTGAGAGATGAGCTATGTAACAGACAGGAAGAGGGTGTCTTCCTTGAATTCTGCAGTGTGGTGAAAAAAGCCTATGGAAAATGTGTCATTGTGGTCAGAGACAAAAAACAGATAAATGAAAGAATGCAGAATGAAGTCAGAGAGGACAAAGAAGTTCAACCTTATACTTCATCAGTTATTAATTTAACCAGCATTTCATGTTGTCCTGAGATAGCCAGAGCTAATGGCCATGAGCTTCTTCCTCTTCCATCCCCTTACAATTACCTAAATCCTTTAGATACTGCCTGGTCTTCTCTGAAATGGTTTATCATCAACAACAGGAAGGAATTTTGTTTGTGGTCCATTGACAACATTTGTTCTTACCAGCATATACTTTTCAGTGACTTGATTGGGAAAGGAATGGAGAGGGTGACACCAACCAAATGGAAAACAGTCATTAACAAAGTTCGAAGATGGGAAAACTACTATCTGGGTAAATGCTCATGAAGGAAATCTCCCCAGCAAGCCGGTGCACTCCTCCACTGCAAGGACATTCTTTAACAGCTAGATTCTTTGCTCTCTTTTTATCTTCTACATTGCCCTGGGCCATTTGGGCACAAACCTCACATTCTAATAGACTGCTAATACTGGTAGAGCTCTGTCAGCTTGGTGGTGGCATCATCACAAACATGTCATTAAATCAATTCAATACTTCAACAAGAGAGGGAAAAAAAGGAATGAGAATGTTTGGTTGCCTGACTACTGTAACTTTAAATCTCTACAATCAAGCAAGTGTGGTAAGTTCACTGGAGTAAAGAAGAAATAAATTCACATACAGTCAACTTTTACTAGTTTCTTTCCTTTCTTTCTTTCTTCCTTCCTTCCTTCCTTCCTTCCTTCCTTCCTTCCTTCCTTCCTTCCTTCCTTCCTTCCTCCTTCCTTCCTTCCTTCCTTCCTTTCTTTCTTTCTTTCTTTCTTTCTTTCTTTCTTTCTTTCTTTCTTTCTTTCTTTCTTTCTTTCTTTCTTTCTTTCTTTCTTTCTTTCTTTCTTTCTTTCTTTCTTTCTCCACATAGAGTATCACATCCTAACCTGCTGGTGAGCTGCCCAAAGGAAATGTAAATTTTAATCTCTGACACTTTTTTGTTTAAGACCAGCCTTAACCCCAAATCACCCTTGCTGCACACCAAGCCCCACTTGGTCACTGTTTGGGCCCTGATTGGCTCAGAATGAATGTAAATAACAATTGTTTCTGTTTTGGCCAGAAACCCTGAGGGTCTTCCCCTCCCAGATCTATTTTTTTTTTAAAGAGGCCATTCTTTGCCTCATTTTTTTCTTTTTTCTTTAATTAATTAATTTATTTTTAGTTTTCAACATTCACTTCCATCAGATTTTGAGTTTTAAATTTTCTCCCCCTCCCACTTCTTCCCCCCTAGACACTATACAATCTGATGTAAGCTCTACACATACATTCAGTGCTAAACACATTTTCCCATTAGTCACGATGTAAAGAACAATTAGAACTAATGAGAGGAACCACGAGAATGAAGCAACAAAACAACAAAGGAAAATGAGAATAAATAGCACCCTTCCATCTGCATTCAGACTCCATATTTTTTTCTCTGGGTATTTTAATCCTTAATCACTGAATGGGTGCTGCCTCAGTCAACTGAGACCTAGTAAAGACCTTAGCTGGAAAAGGCCAAGGACCTCTGCTACATCCTGGGCCATCTCCAGTCTTCCTGATTCATATCTGGCCACTGGACCCAAATGGCTCCCAAGGAGAGGCTGGTGACTTTGCACAGTCCTCCCTCACTTAAACCCAATTCACTTGCATATCATGGCATCACCTCCCTGGTGTCACGGTACTCTTTGAGAATTAAGGGCAAACAGCAACTATTCAGTCAGTACAGAGATAACTAAGAATTCTGGTGTAAATTCAGTTATGTGAAAGGCTAGTACAGAGGGACTAAGAGGACTGGAGGGTATATACCTGAAATTAGAGGGCATATTGGGGTAAAGATCTTGCAAAGGAGACTAAGTATTCCAAAAGGTAGAAGAATGAAAAGAGAGAAGTGTCACAAAAACCCAGAGATTAGAGAGAATTCAAAACAAGGTAGTCAGCAGTGTCAAATGGGACAGAGAACAAGAAGGATAAAGACCAAAAAATGGCCATTAGATTTGTCATGTAAGAGATCATTAGTAATAGTGAGAAGAGCAATTTCAATGGAATGATGTCAGAATATACATGGCCAAGAGTCAACCAATGTGACAGAGCAGACAAGAAAGTAGATACAACATTAGACTGGATTCAGAGGCATATCATTTAGGATGATGGTGGCGATAATCCTGCCCTGTTCAATCCTGATTAGACAATATCTAGAATATTGTGTTCAGTTCTGGGTGCCACATTTCAGAAAGTACAAATTGATTAGCAAGTATCTAAAATGGCACCCAGGATCAAATAGTCAATCAACAATTATGTGTTAATCATCTACTATGTGATTGTCACTGTTCTATAAACACCTGGAATACAAAGACAAAAAAGTGAAAAAAAATTATGGCTTTCACAGACCTTATATTCTATCAAAGGAAACTCTGTGTGTGTGTGTGTGTGTGTGTGTGTGTGTGCGCGCGCGCACGCATGCGTGCATGTACTTGGGTGTGCATGTGTGCTCAGAATGAATACAAAGTATAAGGTAAGTTAATCACAAGGTAGTTAGGAAAGGAGGTAACTAACAGTTGTATTGGTAAAAGATTCTTGTTCAAGGTGGTCCTTGAACTGCAGCTTGAAGGGAGGGATTCTGTGAGGTGGAGGTGAGGAGGAAGTGCAGTCCAGAAATGAGGATGGTTGGTGCAAAGGCCCAGATGGTTTGAGGCTTTGAGTTCTTGCCATGTAAGGATCAGTCAAAGACAATGGTGATATTTTGCCTAAAGAAGACTAGGGGCTGGGGGCAAGAGATTGGGGAATGAGAAATATCTAAGTAATTGAAGGACTATCAAATAGTATCAGGACTAAACTTGCCCTGCTTGACTGCAAAGATAAAAAACTAAGTTTGATCAGTTGTAAAGAGATGAATTTAGGTTTGATATAAGGGAAAATTTCCTGAGTTATAGCTATCCAAAGATGGAATGGCCTGCTTGGAGAGTGGGTTTTTCTGCACTGCAGGCATTATGCAATGGCACCCTCCTTAGGCATGTTTTTTCTTTTTGCTTTTGTTTTTAGGCAGTTGGGTTAAGTGACTTGCCCAAGGTCACACAGCTAGTAAGTGTCAAGTGTTTGGTTTGAGGCCGGATTTGAACTCAGGTTCTCCTGACTTCAGGGCTGGTGCTCTATCCACTGTGCCACCAAGCTGCCCCTTTGTTAGGCATGTTGCAGGGGAAATTCTGGTTCTGGTGTGAGCTGGACCAGGTGGCTCCCGAGATCTTTTCCAACTTGGAAATTTTATGAAAGTGCTTGGTTGGCTCACAAGAAGTCTTATGAGATAAGTGTTGCATGTCAGCAAAGCAAATGAAGTTTTATGCATAAACAAAATGTCAGGCACAGAAATCCCCACATTAGGAAACAATGTGTCTACTAATTCAGGCTGCAACAGAAGGAAGATAGTTCCAGATTTAATGGCATCTTAATTTAGTGGTTGGTTTCTCTTTTTAATTAATTAATTTGTTTTTAGTTTTCAGCATTTGCTTTTATAAGAGTTTGAGTTCTAAATTTCCTCCCTCCCCTGCCACCTCCTAAGATGGCATGCAATCTGATACAGGCTATACATATATGATCATATTAAACATATTTCCCACATTAGTCATGTTGTGAAGGAATAATCAGAACAAAAGGGAAAACCATGAGAAAGGAAAAAAAAAGGAAAAATAGCATGCTTCAATCTGCATTCAGACTCCACAGTTCTTTCTCTGGATGTGGCTAGCATTTTCCATCATGAGTCTTTTGGAATTGTCTTAGATCATTGCATTGCACAGAAGAGCTAAGTCTAACAAGTCAGTCATCACACAATGTTGCTATTACTGTGTAAAGTGTTCTAGTTGTACTCACTTCACTCAGCATCAGTTCATACAAGTTTTCCAGATTTTTCTGAAGTCCACCTGTTCACCATTTCTTGTGGAACAATAGTCTTCCATTACATTCATATACCACAATTTGTTCAGCCATTCCCCAGTGGATGGACATCCCCTCAATTTCCAATTCTTTGCCACCACAAAAAGAGCTGCTATAAATATGTTTGTACATGTGGGTCCTTTTCCCTTTTTTATGATCTCTTTGGGATACAGACCCAGTAGTGGTATTGCTAGATCAAAGGTTATGCACAGTTTTATAGCCTTTTGGGTATAGTTCCAAATTGCTCTCCAAAATGGTTGGATCATTTCACAACTCTACCAACAATGCGTTAGTGTTCCAATTTTCCCATATTTTCTCCAACATTTATTATTTTCCTGTTTTGTCACGTTAGCCAATCTGATAGGTGTGATGTGTTGTTTTAATTTGCATTTCTCTAATCAAGAGTGATTTAGAGCATTTTTTCATATGACTATAAATAGCTTTAATTTGTTCATATAAAAACTGCCTGTTCACATCCCTTGACCATTTATCAATTGAGGAATGACTTATATTCTTATAGATTTGACTCAGTTCGCTATACATTTTAGAAATGAGGCCTTTATCAGGGACACTGGCTGTAAATATTGTTTCCCAGCTTTCTGCTTCCCTTCTAATCTTGGTTGCATTGGCTTTGTTTGTGCAAAAACTTTTTAATTTCATGTAAGCAAAATTATTCATTTTGCATATCATAATGTTCTCTATCTCTTGTTTGGTCATAAATTCTTACCTTCTCCATAGATCTGACAGGCAAACTGTCTTTACTCTCCTAATTTGCTTATAGTTTCACCCTTTATGTCTAAATCATGTACCCATTTTGACCTTATTTTGGTATATGAGATGTTAGTCTATGCCTAGTTTCTGCCATACTCTTTTCCAGTTTTCCCAACAGTTTTTGTCAGATAGTGAGTTCTCATCCCAGAAGTTGGAATCTTTCGATTTATCAAACAGTAGATTACTATAACTATTGACTACTATGTCTTGAGTACCTAACCTATTCCACTGATCCAAGTGGTTGTTCTTTTTAAAGTCCACTGTACCCTTTAAGAAAATAAAAGAGGGACCTTATTTTTTGAGAGAGATTTTTTTCCCCTTTGCACATAAGTATAAACATAACCTTTTTATATTCACTGATTAAAACAAACTGCTTTGTCTTGGGACTACTTTTGAGGATCATCTGCAACAGGTTAAGCCTGTATATGAATAGATTAAAAAAAAGAATTCTCAGCAGAGAGGCTGTAATAATAGCTCACAATCCTTTAGCATTACCACTTTGCATTCTGTATAAGCTAAACTATTATATTTTTGGTAACAATACAGAATAATATGTGCATTTGCTATTCTTATAATTACTTATTGCTCTATCACCTCTAGGATCAATGACAAATTCCTCCATTTGACATTTAGACACCTTGATAACCTGGCTCCTTCCCAACCACATTTTACATTACTCCCTTTCATAACCTCTAAGGTCCAGGCAAATTAGCTGTCTTATTGTTCAGGCACCACCTGAAATTCCACAAGGATGGATTTGATTTCCCCAGATACTGGTTCCACATCTCCATCTCCTAACCTTTCTCCACTGCAAATTACTTTGTTTTTATTTTATATACACTCATACATGTTTTCTCCCCTACAGTATATAAGCTCCTTGAAGACAGGAACTATTTCATTTTTTACCTTGAATCCTCT